ACAGCAAAACTTAGACGTTTGCTACAAGAAAGAAAAGCTAAACGCTAATGCAGATGCATTGAGCTGTGCGTTTTAGTTAGTACCTTCTTCACCTTTCGGTCTTTCGCTGGCGAAACGGGGCAAAATTTCGTCCTCATCACGATCTTAGCTGAGCGCTCTCGCCCAGAGTGATCTCAAGGGGCCAACTTTATGTTGTATTCTATTTCATTACATTGTTGTATGAGTAAAAAAATGTAAGGTCTCATTTCAAGAGTCTCGTGTCCTACATGTGCCTCTTGATGTAGAGGGAACGAAATTCTGATAGTAATGTAACTAAGTATATGTTGTACTATACTTTGCCTGGTGTTCTGTCGGGTAACCGAGGGCACTTGCTTGTGTCGTGTGTTGTCTGTTGTCGAACCGTTCTTGACAAGTTGCAGAACCATCGACAAAGTGCCGAGACCAAAAATCGTCAGAAGAGACGAGCGAAGCTAGTTGACAAGTTGTGGCGACAAGCCAGTGGAGCTGGGATCTGTCCTGAATGGGATGTGTTCACGGAACTGAGCCTGGAGCTACATCCTCCGCATGGCCTTGGAGGCAAACCTGGGGGGGGGGGGGGGGGGGTGCTGTTACGCTTGGGAGTCCACACCGAACGTCATTGCCTCTGCAAAGGCAATCAGTGTCAAGGCCAGCGAGCGAGCCTGCCTGACATCACCTCAAAGACTTCATTCAAGCGGCGCCATCCAGTCTGGCAAATCTTACGCAATGTGTGGCAACATCACTCATTTTTTGGAGCAACTCAGCACAGCGGCTCCGGAATTCAGGATCATGACGCAACCCAGCGGCGGTTCCTGACTGAAGGAATCTGATATCACGGCCAGCGGCACTTCTGATTGGACGTTGGTGACGTAAAGGTCCACCCGGTGCCTTTAAAAAATGCCAAGCGGCACGTTGCCAGCAGCTGATCTATGCATTAGAGAGCAGCCGACGTATGCGTCAGAGAGAAAACATCTCGGCTCTTCGAGTCCTTAAGCTGCCGGCCCCAGCGCCCAATTTGTAACGCCTCTATTTCTATGCTGTACATAAATCTCGCCTTGACTCGCCGTCGTCTTGTCTATTGGTCTATCAGCTCTGCGCAGAAACAGTCGTGCCTTCGGAACCGTGTTGGCGTCGCACCTCGTAACAATGTGCGTAGGAAAAAATTTGATGTATGCATTAAGGAACAAGGAAGGCAATGTCATAATCAACATGAATGGAATTGTTGAAGTGGCAGAGTAGTTCTACGGAGAGCTGTACAGAAGCCGAAACAGCCAGGATGATATCATAAGAAGCAACAATAGCCCAGAAGAATTCAACATCCTACCAGTAATGATGGGAAGTAATGAAAGCCCTCAAAGGAATGCAAAGAGGCAAAGCCGCCAGTGAGGATAAGGTAACAACGGACCTGCTGAAAGATGGCGGAGAAATCGTGTTAGAAAAACAGGCTACCTTATATACGAAGTGTCTCTTGACCGGAAAGGCACCAGAATCTTGGAAAAACGCCAACATCATCTCAATCCACAAAAAAAGAAATGTCAAGGACTTGAAAAACTACAGGCCAATCAGCTTAATGTCCTTTCTTTATAAAATACTTACACAAATTTATTAGCTAATAGTATTAGGGCAACATTCAATCAAGCACAGGACCAAGCATGATTTCGCACAGGCTGCTTCACCACGCTATGTTCACACTATCAATGAGGTGATTAGAAATGTGTGGAAAACAACCAATCCCTATACATAGCCTTCATAGATTACGAGAAGGCGTTCGACTCAGTCAAGACATCAACAGCGATGCAGGCCCTACGAAATCAGGGCATCAACAAACCCTACAAACACATACTGGAATAAATCTACAGTGGATACACAGACACCATAGTTCTCCACAAAGAAAGCGACAGAATCCCAATATAGAAGGGTGTAAGGCAGGAAGACATGATCTCTCCAATGCTATTCACCGCGTGCTTACAGGATGCTTTCAGGACCCTAGATAGGGAAAAGCTAGGGATAAGAGTTAATGAAGAGTATTTTAGTAACCTGCGATTCTTGGATGATAGTGCCTTGATGAGTAAGTCAGGGAACGAGATACAGCTCATGGTTACTGAACTGGACACTGAAAGCAGAAGAGTCAGTCTGAAATTCAATATGCATGAAAGTAAAGTAATCTGCAACAGTCTAAGGAGAAAACAGTGCTTTGCAATAGGTGGAGAGATGCTGGAAGTTGTAAAGAAATATGTCTACTTAGGACAGGCAGTAACCACAGAGCCAGACCATGAGAGCTAAATACCCAGAAGAATAAGGATGAGGTGAATCAAATTCCGCAAGCATTCTCAAATCATGAATGGTGATCTGCCACTAACGCTCAAGAGGAAGGTATATACCAGCTGCATCTTGCCGGTACTTACCAACGGAGCAGAAACCTGGAGGCTTACAAAGAGTATTCAACTTAAATGGAGGACGACACAGTGAGCAATAAGAAGTAAAATGATAGGTGTTCCCTTAAATAACAAGAAGAGAGCAGAGTGAGTCAGGAAACAAACCGGGGTTAAGATATCATAGTTGAAATCAAGAAGAAGGATAGGACATGGGCTGGGCACGTAGCACGCAGGCTAGTCATTAAAGAGGCCCTAACACAGTGCGAGTGGAGTTACAAAGACTTGTCTGATGCTGCAATTGCATTCTCTCTTTTCTTGTCCCGACGAAAGCACTGGAATCTAAACAAAAAGAAATGGCAAAGAAAAATGTAATGCCCGTCTCGTGACCTTGAGCACATTTCTTTGTTTTTTCCTTCGAATGTGCGGCTTTCTTCGTGAGACCACGTGCGCACGCGTGGACAAGTCTCGGCCTCTCGCAGCGATCTCTGTAAAGACCGAGCGCGCCATGTTCGAATCCGCCAATGGCTGATAGATGGGCTTTTTACGAGTTATTTTTGGGCATTTTCCGAGATTTGTTGAGAGAAGAGAAAGCAAATTTTTAGCTGAGTTAGATAGGTAATTTATTGTAAATTTCAAGCCGCGTGCTGCGCTATAATATTTTGCTTGCGTGTTGTTGGGAGCATCAACTACCAATCGGCAGTGTTTTCTGACCATGCTGTTGTCAGAAAACACTGCAAAGGGGGCCTGCACTGTTGCAGGGCCCCTTATAACTGACTGGATTTCCAAAGAAGACTAACACATGAGGGGGAGACGGAAAGTTAGGTAAGAAGATGAGATTTAAAAGTTCGCAGGTATAAGGTAGCTGCAGAAAACACAAGATTATGTTGATTGGCGGATCACAGGAGAGGCCGTTGCCCTGCAGTCGGCAAAGTCAGGCTGATGATGGCGATGATGATTGACAAAAATGAGCATTTTCAATATGAGCCAACTAACTTGCACAATATCTTTAAGAGCAGGAACTAGGCATGTGTCCCTTTTTTGGTTCAAAATGAAGTGAAAACAAGTCTCCATGGTAGCAAAATTTGTTATGAAGCAGGAGGCCAACTACACCTGGTACAATGTGTCCTGTTTTAACAAATTAGATATACTTAGTGCTTACAAGCCTGCATGACATCCCTTTACTTTCAAAAAATAATAAATTGAGGTGAAGGTAACATGCACACTGGGTATGAAAGCAAATGTCAACAGTGTGGCATCTACATCCTCAGCTGTTTCCCATTTCTTTTCGAGTAGTTGTAGCTTAGATGTCAATGAAGAGCCACGAGAGTCGTGCATGATTAAATCAAGAGCCATTCTAGCATCCTTATAATGGCACCAATGTCATAATCACATGCAACTCACAAGCAAACACCACTCTCAAACAGACAGAGCACTGCCGACACCGAAATTTCTGCAAAACAAGCTCTTCCTCGCAATCACAGCCCCCTGCACATTTAAATTTGGAGTGAGGCTTCCCAGCAGTACAGCTTTTCTCAAAAAGTTGTTCTGCAGCAGCAATGTCACACTGCGGTAAAACCACCTTTACAGAAAGTTCATATATGTTCAGACAATCATAAATTCGTTCATTTTCAAATACTACAAAATTTCAAATAACCTAAATTCCTGTCAAAACTAATTTGCATACTCTAACATTAGTTCGAATATTTGGAATGCCCGGATATTCGCTCCTTGAAATTGTCGAGCTCATGGAGTGCAGAGACTGAATATTACAAAAAAAAGCAAAGAAACATGAGCTCAAGATTTTGTTGCATCATTACGAGATTAGTCCAGCCACTGTTCAAGATTGTTAACATAGAGTACTTCCGTTAATGTAGCTCCAGCGAATTCAACTTCATAATTGATTTTGTTGTGATAAAAGGCCCTGCCAGCAAGCATACATTTGCAAAGTGGGCAAACTTTTAAAATCTAAAACAATTAAATTGGCCCTTGCCACATAATTGAACCTTCAGTGGTCAACACCTGTCTTACCTTATTCACTCGATGCACTTACTACAACGTAAACCTTATTTCAGTGATGACCTCAACAGAGACTGCAACAGGGGCAGTCTACGCCTTTGCTGCTACAGAACTCCAGTGAACATTCCCACAAGCAATCAAATTCTAACCACGAAAAACTCACCAATAATCACAATGCTGCCTAAGGAGATTCTGACTGCTGCTTTTTGCTGAGGCAAGGCCAGCAGTTTTTTGAAGTTTTTGTTATCAGCAGACGTAAAATTCGTTACATATTGCCAGAGAAAATGCCATTGCTTGAGCGCTATGCACACAACTCTGAGCATCGCAGGCATCACAAACCCAGCAAAACGTTGACAACCTCGCTCCAGCAAGTGTACATATTCACAGCCTACATGCCAGCCTTGCGTGCACACGAGCTCTGACTGAGAGGACAGCATGCGTCACAGAAGAAGAAAGTGAGGCTAGAGGCCAGCAGCTCGCAATATTGACTGAATCTGTGTTCGCTCAGTTTTGCCCTCTTTCACTCTATTGGTTACGCTGGCACCACTCAATGCAGAGGTGAACACCCAAGAGCTGCACTCTAAAACTCACCAGCTCATTGTCAGCATCTGTGTAGAGGCCAGGAACAATAACATGCTCTCCATCACTGGCAAAGCTAAAAGAATAAAAAAATCATTTAAATTTAAAGATGTGCAGCTGAAGGAGTGGAAACATGGGTCCCTGTCAAAGCTGGGAAAAGCACTTTGAAATGGCATCTAAATACACCAGCTATGAGTTACGCATGATAAGCGTATTTCAGACACAAGCACCGTAACCAGATTCAATGAACGTGTTAGAATTTTTGTGATTCAAAGATGTTACGAGGCAATTGATGAAATGTTGCACGACGTTTAACTCCATAAATAATGTCTTGCAGCATGGCTATATTTCCCGGCTCGATAATCAAAATTAAAAAGACTTTGAATGCTTTTGCATCTTCCCTTTTTTTAATACAACGAACGCAGTGGCTGTCTTTCCATATGAATGTACTTCACAGAGGAATGCTACAATTTTCAAAATGGTACAAAGGCAAGAAAAACATTCCAAGGTATTTTTATGCAATAACATCACACAATTGTACACAGATCAGCAGCAAAAAAGAAAGCAAAGTTACATGTAGTACGTTGCAGTTTGCGAGCAATAAAAAACTAAAACTTTGCATACAGTGAGAAAGCACAGCAGATTTTAGCTGATGGATTACGGCTGGTTTGTCTGCGTGATTACGTTCGTACATGTTACTACTGTTCTATCTAAAAAATATTGGGCTCATTGCTCACATTATGCAGGGCAATCACTTGCTATTTCAGAGACCCTTAAATGCCGCTCATTTAGAATGCATTATGTGATGACAAAGCATCACTACAGAACATCGCTTAATTAAGTTTTAGGTGGCCTTTTATCTAATTTCAAAGCAAGAATATTCATTAAACGGACAACGTTGCATTAGATTCGGCCAACAAAATATGTGACAATGAATGTTTCCTCCATCATTTTGTAATAATACTGCAATGAAGTCTGTGGAAAGTAATTTTCAAGTTCACTAAACAATGTTCACTGGTTTCATAGAACAGTGCCATTATCCAAGCCAACACTTATTGCAAAAGTTTCTAGTGATATAAAGTAAGACAACTAAAAATTAGCGCATATTGTACTGAGCCCCACGAGGCTGGTCCACAGCTGAGCTGGTGGACATGTTCGAGCTTGTTTTGTTAACCATTTTTGCAGAATGCTTGAGTGGTCACTGGGTATGCATCAGTTTATAATGATTATTATTTTTCATCTATGACACATAGCAAGCCTTGAACATTAAAGCTATGGTGTAAAAATACTATCATACAATGCAGAACTATAACCAAAACATCTTGTACACCACAATATTATTTCTTATTGAAGTAAGAGTTATATTGCATGATGCCTGCCATGTTTACTTGTGCGACACCATCGCTACCAAGTACTGATTAACTATAGGCTTTTGCTCGCTCATGTAGGCTGTTCGTTGATATAGCAGTGTACTTGAAAAATAAAGTAGTAGAATTACACCTGTGCAGCATTCCATAAGATGCTTTGCACACTACAAAAGTTGTCAGGCAAAATTCTCTGCAGCTTACATCAGTCAGTAATCAAGAACTACATCAATGCCATGACCTCTAGTTTCTCATGCTAAGCATTCTTTGCCAAGGGTCAACGTAAGCCTAGATGAAACAACCAATTCTTTATCAGAGCACCTATTTATTTAAAAAGGCTATGCAAAATGAAAGCAACCTGACACAAGACATGTCACATGTCAGAACCATCACAACATAGAATTGTCACACTGCATCAATTCTGCTCACCAAAGCTTGCAAGTCACATCACCTACCAGCCACGAACGCTTTCTGGAAGATCCGTCTTCCTTACGGAACGGGGCTGCAATGCGTTGTTGGCAAAGTTGCTCCCCACGTGAAGGGCGTAGTCGTTGAGAGAAACAACTTCCCTGCGCTGAAATTGAATCGAAATAAGCAATGCATGCCTTACCAACTAGCTCGCCAATATGTTTTATTACATGCACCACCATTCGATGTTCTTATTCAGAGATGGATGGCAAGATCACTCCTAATGACCTTACTTTAGTATAATTTTTAATGTTAGTTTAACAAAAGTTCATTATTCATACATTAACTCGTACAACTCATTTACAGCACACAGGGTATGCAGACTAAAATGTTTGGGAACTTTGTTGCATCGCAGAAGCAGCTAGGACTCCAAGCAAGCACTAGAAAGGCATCCTCACTTAGGACAAAGTATCCATCCCAATACTGGCACAGATGACAGCACATGAATTGCGCTTTTGTGGTAAATTTTTTTGCAATAAGAGAAGCAGACTTGCTATATTTTAGTCATAATTAGGAAAGCAAAGAGAAATTTTATTGGATTACTCAATTCAAGTAATTAAATATGCACTAAATTGATTTACTCAACCTTAATTACTTCAAAGTCTGTCTTTAATGAACTTGTTAGCATAACAATACTGTTTTCAACTAGAAAACAGACACAATCAATACGTGTGTTTTCATGCTTATTCTAAAACACGAAGCATCCGTGAAATTAAGAAGGAAGAATGAGTATTTAGGGGCAGTTTTTGACTGCAGTTGCACAGTATGCTTCTTAACCTTAAAAATAAATAGCAGAAGGAGAACAGATTCGTGGGCCACTTTTTTTAAGCGGCTTAACAGACACTTGAAGAAAAACATTAGGTGGACCCTGTTAATTGGTGTTGTAGTATAAAGAGCGTACGTCAAAGCAACGCTACATCACCTTATAGAAAAGTAAGAACCAGCTTTCACATTGACATAGCAAGTTAACACTGTAAACACTTGCAAACTGTGGTAAACAAATGGTAGGAATGAAACCATTAAATAAAACTTGAACTTAAAGAAAGTGCCAGCTGACTAAACATCTTTGCCCACGCTAGTTATTGGCACAAACGTGGTACACACTCTCCACATGGCCTTATCAATAAAAAAGAACTCAACCTTCACATGCTCTAGCTGTGTGGTGAAGTTTAAAATACAGTAAACGAAAATCGCCTAATTACATGCTGCTTAAAAGGAGAAACTGCCATTGTCATCAGCCAAATTTTCCCTTGGGTGTTACAAAAATCGACCCCCTCTATAAAGTTAGCGACCTGCTCGTACCACGGCGCTCCTGTTCGCTGAGATTGTTTTCGCTTGTTTATTATATTTTAGTTCTCTCAGTCACCACTGCAACGCGTGGCGCTGCAATGTGTGGCGCTGCAATGCGTGGCATGCAAGCACCACACACGTGTAGTTATTATGCCGTTGCTGTGTGCCATGCCCGTTGCTCTTTGTTTTACTTTTCATCTCCTTGCACTTGTTGAAACAGTAAACTATTTAGCCATGGTTTACTGTAGCATTTTGTCCACCTCAGTAGAACAGTGGGTGCTCAGTTGCTGATCCCAAAGGTCACGAATTCGATCCCAGCCATGGTGGTCGCATTTTGATGGAGACGAAACGGTAGAAGCCCGCGTACTGTGCGAAGTCAGTGCACGATAAAGAATGCCAGATGGTCAAAATTCCTACTGTCCCCCACTACGGCATATCTCATAATCATATCAGAGTTTCGGGACGTAAAACCCTAGATATTATTATTTTACTGTAGCATTTTGTTCTGTAAATTAAGCGGCAGGACTGATGTCCTGCTATGATCACCCTTTGCTATGATCACTAATTTTCTCATGCAAGCGGTTCAAGATAACATCAGTTGTGAAGGGTGCATTCTGAAACTTTATCGACATTGCCCAAGTTACACGTCAGCCGCTTTAATTACAGGAATCGATAGGGCTGGACTGTCGTACGCCAGCATCGCTTTCATTGGAATCACCAGCCTTCTTGAAGTTCCTGCCTCACAAGTAGGAGTTTACTGATTAGATAGCCACTTAAGAAGTTCACGCGTGTCATTCTTCCACCTATCACCAAGAACCCTTAATTTATGCAAAAGTGAACGGGACAACACTGTAACACATACCTCTGCACTTGCTAAGTAACTATCTCGAAGTTAATACGAACTTCTTTGACAAATTTTGCCTGCGACATGACTGAAAAACACACCAGAAGGAAGTTGCTGCGCACCAAGCCACAATCACGAAATGTACTCATAGTTTGAGCTCGGCATACAAAAAGAATAATTGTTCTGGAATTTCGCAATGCACGATGTGTGTTCCTTAAGCATCAGCATTTTCCTTAGAGTAACATAGATTTGTTTTTTGAATAGCTCATTTGAGCGCTCGTTTATTAGTAGGTTATTACAGGAGGCATAAATTGAAGGCAGTAAAAAATTGTGTTTAAGGTGCAAAAAATACGCAGGCAAAACACAGTTTTAGGCCCCCAAAATCGTAAATATAGGCACAATAAAGTTTCATGATAATTCAAAATTTTGAAGTAATAAATGCAGAATTTGTTCCTATGGCAGGAAAGCAAAAATAAATGATTTAGTTGACGATGGTACAAGGCCGCCAATGGTTTTGCCTAGCCATGAACTTTTTTTTTCTGTAGGATTTTCAGACATGGGCTCTTTTTCTGGTATGGCGAGTCAAGTGTCCACCATCGAATAAGGACACTCCTGGTTCTCTTTCTTTTCGGCATAGGTAAGAAAGGCCGCACAATAGCAAATAGACAGACTGCAAATAGGCCAGAAGAGTCTTTTAGCTTCGTATTAACCAAGTCTAATTGCACAGAGTAAAATATTTCTCCTCTGTTTATGAACACCCCAAAGGGCCCCTCACCAGGCTTGAACATTTCGAGCAGGCAAGAGAAATACATGCACTGGGCACTCACGATCTCCTCTGCCAAAATTTGTAAAACCACGCAGCCTGAAAAGAGCGAATAGCCAGACTGAACGCCGCTTGCCCTTCACCTTGAATCGCACCCGCCCCAACAAGGTGAAGTACACTCCAAGGAAAGGTCTTGCGTACGACAAAGTAGTACGTCACACTGCGAGAATGATTCGAGACAATGAGTGTAATTTGTGCAATCTGTTGCTTGAATAGTATGAAGGTTGATAGAATTATTAAAAATACAAACAAAATGTGTACGCATTATTCCCTTTTTTTAACCTCATATCGAGCAAGATGCGAGACTAAGCTGCCTCCATTTCGTTTGCATTGGTCTTCTCGCCATTTTCGCATTGTGACGGTGACAGCCCAGACAATATCTGGCGTGTTTTTTGGTGCATCATCTCTTAAAGCAGTTCCAGCGGTGCGACGCTGTGTATCATGATAACGATACATGATATCAGCCAGCTTTTGCAACTGTGCGCACACAGAAGGATCTGTCCCAAAGAAACAGGCCGTTCATTACTGAGAATGCCGAAACAACACAATACCGCTTGCATGCACGACTTGGGAATGCCATGCCAATGTAACCTTGTGTGTGCATGGCGTGTTGATTCACCTGAATCATATAATCATCTGGCTCCCAATTGCTCCGACACCGAGGTGGGCAGGGAAAGAATTCGGCTGGCGGAGTCTACACGTGATAAGTAGCAAAGGTTTCAAGCTCACCTCCTCGCATTATGCTTTCGTGTCTTGTAATGAATTAATTTTAAAAATGCTTATTGTACAAGGCTTTTCATTGGGCATGCAACACCTTCCAGTGTCTCCCTATAATTTCTTAAGTGAGCTGGTGAAGCGCTCTATAAGACATAAATGACAAATAAAACAAAGAACTACGTCAACATCTGATTTTAGTTACTTTTTTTCTCTTTACCTACACTCTACTTTCTTCTGATGACTCTCCACAGTTTCGCATTTCTTACCCATCATTCCGGGGCCGCACAAAAGCACCTGCTGTTCCCTACGCGTGCGAGCAGACGTGACGCAAATGAATACATGTGCAGAGGCTAATCGGCTTTCCTATACACCAGAACACAGTGAGCTCAGTGCTTGCTGCCATATTGAAAAGCGCGTGGCACCATCTGTTGCCAGCACGGCGAAGCAACACTCAATTGCCACTTAAGCAGACGCTCTGCAAATCAAACGCAAAACTTCACAATCCAAACCGGCTGTAAGCATGTTTCACGCTGTTCCTTTGATAAAAATTTGTGCTCATTTGTTGTGAAACGTCGAGAAGACCTTCCTCGATAGTCCGGAATGTCTGCAGCACGTGCATTGCAGACTGCAGAAGCAACTACATCAGGTACATGTTATCCGACTGAAAAAACATGAACAACGGAAAGCGTTAACTGTGGCATGCCTTGGCTGTGACAAGGCAGAATTTGTGCTATAAGCCAGCGTCAACCTAGCGCTAGAAGCTGGCTCCAACTTACGCTCATGCACCGTATGTGCATCAATTGCCAGTCTTGCTGGGCACTCGGAACACACACGCGGTGTAAAAGTGCCAGCCAGAACAAGATTTCAAAATTCTACGGTGACGCCGGCCGATAGCACATGTAGATTCGCCTAGGGACAGTCAAAGCATGTCGCAGTTCGACCAAGTCGAAAGCCATGATTTCCGCGCCGTTCACGTTTCTATGCATCGCAATAGTGGGCTGTTACAGATGTACTAGACATGCGCGGTGCGTGCATCAACGCGTGAGTCGCAAGGCGTATATCTTATTATTGACATGCGGCCTGCGAAAAAGTACGGCAATAGTTTCGTCATGTTGCACTACAGGCATACTACAGGAATACTGCACGCAAATCACTGCTGTAAAGTTGAACAGCTGAAGTCATGCTTAAATAAAGGCAATAGATAAACTTACTCGTACACTTCACTGGGCTCATAGCTTTTCCTGTCGATTGCAATTATATCCTAATGCGGCAGAGCTCAGTGTTTTTTTTGTTGTGGACGGAAATCTGTGCACTCGCAAAACACCGCGCCGGCAGGATTCCCCCAATGCGCTGTGAACTTCACAGGCATTGCTCAGCAATCTCTTTCTCTTGCGCTGCTTGTTGTCGCATCAGGTGACAGCGCAGTGGTACCCAGATGCCACTGTATAAGCGGGCGCAGCGTAAACAGGCGCTTTTTCGCATTTTACACTCCCAGAGCCCCTGCATGCCATGCTAGTGAGGCGCGCCTTGGCAGTTGCAAACAAACTATGGAGTCTCTGGGAGCGAGAGTATACCGCCGAAGGCGCCTGGGTGCAAGATAGGGGTGCTCTCGTCTATTGGCTAACTGACTTCGTAGCCTTGACAGAGCTGAAAGGAACTTCTGAGATGGAGTATAAGTTGCATCCCACAGAGTTTCGAAAGCATAATTTTGCCCGGTAACATAAATATGGGTATCCAACAGTACTCAAAAGCAAAATTTGAGGTTAAATAGAGCTCACATAGGCACCGATCTTGAAAATAAGCATTTATAGGCACAAATAGAAATTTAGGCACAAAAGTGAGAAAGAAGAATTTATAGGTACTATAAAAACACTATTTATAATGTTACCCTTGACCTCTAGCCCAGCCGCGGTGGTCTAGTAGCTAAGGTACTCGGCTGCTGAGCCGCAGGTCGCGAGATCGAATCCCGGCTGCAGCGGCTGCATTTCCGATGGAGGTGGAAATATTGTAGGCCCGTGTGCTCAGATTCGGGTGCACGTTAAAGAACCCTAGGTGGTCAAAATTTCCAGAGCCCTCCACTACAGCGTCTCTCATATTCATATGGTGGTTTTTGGACGTTAAACTCCACATATCAATCAATCAATCCTTAACCTCTAATTCGTGCTCATACTGCATGTCAAAGTGGCGCGATAGGAACACAAGAAACAAAATAGGCATGTGCCTATAATCTGGTCTCTAGTTAGTATTCTGGACAAAGAAGTTGAAGAGAATTACAGCAAAATATTTTTGTAAAAAGACCCAGGCTGATTCCCACGTAACAAGCTTTTGCATTTGTCCTTAGGTAACATAAGTGGGCTTCCATTGGGACAAACGATTAAGCGTCAGTGCTCGTAACTGACTAAATGCATTGCAAAATTATCTTGGTTTACGTTGGTGCATAGAAGGGCCTATTATGGCATTAAATAAATGTTGCCTACTTCATTTAAAAGTACACCTGGAATAATTATACTTCATGTAATTCGTGACAACGCAACTTGTAATGGTATTTGCGATAACAAGCTTACACTCGGAAACCAAGGCTCAGATGATGGTTGAGTATGCAATGTGAGACAATGTGAACACTGCGCAGTTTCTGCACCTCTCTGCCTGCAAATTGGCACAGTAAATCGCACGTCTGAAATAGTCGTTAGATATTTCTACATCTGTTATAGCACATGCAAGTCTGGGCCATGTAGACATTGAAATGTCAGGTCGCAGGTACGAAGTGCCATCAATGTTTTTATGTATAAGGATGTAGCCCTGGGAGAACGACCTATTGTGCCCCAAAGTGCTTCCTTTGCCATTCCTGTTAGATTGCCAACTTTATTATAGGTGTCATGATAAAGGATGCATGACTGTGCAACACGGAGCAGCAGCACTCAAGTGTTTCTCTTACGGCACTTACAAAACAATCGTGTCGGGGAACTGTCGGAACCGCTACACTTGGCTTAGGTAATCACATGCCCTTAATACGCTTAATTGATGTTTGATGTCTGTATGCATTATGGAAACAGAGCAACATTTCAAAGGCCTTTATGCAGCACGTTCTTGAAGCAAGATAAGAAAATACCAACCACCGCACACTCGCAACACGGTAGCCGTTTCGAGGGAGTTATGCCCTTTTAAAGTTGTCGCATCAGGTGATATGATGGTAAATTGCGGCAGCCTCTTGTGCAACTTTTAGTAACTATGTGGACACGTGACCCCAAAAGTTGGGGTCAGGCAGAGCCATAGAAAGAGCCGGTATGTGCAGGACGCCTTTTAAAGAAGAGGTGATGGCTCCAACCAGTGTTGCATCGTGGGTGGGGGAGAAGGAGAGCACTCGTGTAGCTTAGGTGAGGGCTAGTGCTGGTGAAGCTTGAGGAGGGGGCAACTACCCCTTTTGCTCCTCTCTGTCGACGCCCACAGAAACTGACTCTGATGCGATTGGTTTCGTACCTGTATGCTGCGCCTCTGTGCATCTCTCAGTAAACGGGACTCCTGTTGAAGGGAACATATTTTTCTGATCCCTCCAGGTTCCGTTTTATGAGTCTACTGTATATGGTGATCATAAGTTTTAGAATCAAAATTATGCCCCAGAGAAATGCACAAGCACTGACCAGCATTTTCGTTAGGGATCAAAATAACGAAGTATTGTGCTAGCAAGACTTTAGTAAAAATTTCCTTTATAGGACTATCTGTTTTGGCCGAATCTTAGCGGGAAGTCCATATTTTCGGTGTTATCACATTGCCATACAAAGCAGAGAGGTTTGAACTCACTGTGGCCTCGTCCAGGTGAATGCCACTCTGTTCAAAGTCAAACAGAAAAAGCTTGGACACATGGTCGTCCTCTTCGGTTGTCGGCACAATGTCCCCATTTAGCACTACCTGCTTCAGCGCATTGTACAGCCTCCTGTCTGTATTTAGTCTGTAAAGATGGGAGAATGCAGTAAGAGCGAATACACTTCGATTACCACCAGAGTGTAATACATGGTGTCGTCACATCTGAGCATGAATGCACATTACATTGGACAATTGTGCAACAAAGAAAGACATGGACAACAAAGACACACTAAGTGCAAACTTTCAACTTAATTTAATGGACCTCTGAAGCTGATTATAAATTGAAGCAAGTACACGCAAGTGCAGAGTAGACTACGCATGCATGCAGAATTGTGAGCGATGTTAAAGGGAACATGCGAGCGCATGGCAAATAGTATCAGGCCCTAATTCATTGAATACTCACGTGGCTCAGTAAAAAATACGGTAAAAATCACGACACTTTTTGGGAAATGGTTGCCACTCCCACTATGCATCTGTTCTAAATGATGCTTGAAATATGACACAAATAACAGGTTGATATTGTAACACTTGGGAAGCATTGATGCAATGTGAAGATCACCACCGATTTCAAAAAAGGCACACTTTGCTGTATCTTGATTTTACGTATTACATGCAGACACACCAGCGAATGGAAAAGAGCGGCATTCCTTGCGGAGCTATAGAAAGCCCATCGCTGCGCTCAGCTTGGCACAGCTGCTCTATACTCGCGAGTGGCTGGTGATGAGCGATCACCTGCCATTTTTTCTTTTTTCTCAGTAATAGCGAGGCAGGCATGCCGACATTTCCAGTTACCGCAGTACACTTTCCAGTTTATTTCTTACAGCATTGATTGATTCCATTGATATGTGAGGTTCAACGTCCCACAACCACTACAGTTGAATCTCGATAATTTGAACTCGAAGGGGCCCAAAAATTTCTTCAAATTAAAAGAAGTTCAAGTTAATGAACGCTAAGTAAACTGAGGGCTCCCATGCAGTGGTGCATGTACATTGAGCTAACACACGATGGGGAACTTTCAGAAGACATGCATTTATTCAAAAATCGCAGGACATCCATCATTATTTGAAGTAATCGATGATGCGTGTCTGCACACGTTTGCCTTGCAAAGCATGTCTACTTCGGCTTCAGCATTCTCCTGGCAAGAGAGGTTGCACGCGGCAATGTCCAGCACCGACACTCTCTAAAGTCGACGAAAAGAACGACTGCATCTCCGCTACTACCCTCTGTGCCAAAGCCGCAGCGTTGCCAGCACGTGTCGAGAAAGGAGGAGCGTCTCCAAGCAGAAGTGCCTAGAAATAGTGCTTCTAGACACTGTAACTCCATGGCAGCTTCTTCTTCTTTTTACTCTCTCCACGCTTGCGCGCATCGTTGAAAGGAGAAGGGTTACGTGGCAGAGACGGGAAAGGAGAAGCATGGCACCGGCGTGTGGAAAGAGCCACTCTGCGCTACAGCTTTCTTTTTTTTCTCCTCTCTCTCTTTCCGCACGCAGCGTTGGAAGTAGAAACGTCTTTACGTGGCAGAGGCGAAAATGGGAGAAGCGTGGCACAAACGCATCGCAGATCGGCATTTGAGAGAGAGCAAACATTTCATTGCAGCCTTTTCTTTCCTTTTTTTTTTTTCTGCGTGCAGCATTGAGGTGTTGGAGGTGCCGCCGCGGAATTGGGTGGGGGGCTGAGAGCATTTTCGGAACACGGTATGTTGCATATGTTGCAATTACCGGTTGCAAGTGCGCGCGCGTTTGAATTACCGGGCGTTTTCGCCCATTGGAATACACATAGCTTTGACGGGACCTCATCGTGAGTTCGAATTAACCAGAAGTTCGAATTAAGCCCGTTCAAATTAATGAGATTCTACTGTATGATGATGATATATGGTGTTTTTGGCGCAAGGGCCATTTGTTGGCCAAAGAGTGCCATTTCATCTTACTAAAAATATGGACAATGATTGTGATAAGCGGCTGTATAAGGGCCATAAAATTCCTCGCGATAAGGCGGGTAAGAACATACGAGTAATAAAATGATGACCATGCCGTGAAAGAAGTGTGGTGTGAATGATGACAAAAGTTGGTGATAATAAGACGATGGTGGATATGTATGGCATTAGCACAAGTGCCTCACTCGTTCATACCCTTGCGTCCAAGGGCCGTGAGGCATGTGCTTTCCTGTGTAGCCACCGCAGCAAAAACCTCTCAAGAGAGGTCGTGCTACGATATGCCCGGGTATATGATATGAAAATTATGAATTTCCTTTAAAAAGGCTAATAGTGATTTGTGACTAAAAAGCGGTTCCCTACCGACGAACATTGCAGGGTGTAAAGGTATATGTTGTCGGTAGGATAGTGGGAAGTGGTGTCTTCTTAGACTGTCTAAATGTTTACATTGAATTAAAACGTGAAGAACTGTTAATGTGTCACCACATTTATCACACAATGGTGGATCACCACCGGATAAAAGATGTGTGTGTGTCGTGTATGTGTGTCCTATCCTGAGTCTTGTTAGTGTTACCTCTGTTAGACGTGATTTTGATACTGGTGGCCAATGGCCAAGGTGTGGCTTGATAACATGTAGTTTGTTTTGTGTGTGTGTATCCCACTTGCTCTGCCAGTAGTCCCTGAGGTTTCGTTTGAGAGACGGCTTAAGATCAAGGGCCGGGATTGATATAGATGTAATGGCGGTGCTCTCATGGACGGATGCAGCGAGCTGATCCGCCCTCACGTTGCCTTGGATCTCACGGTGCCCTGGCACCCAGCACACTACAACATGTTGTTTGTGTGTGTAGAGTGTGCACAAAATGGAGTAAAGTGAGACAAGGACTGGGTTTTTTTGTTTTTTAAGACTGTGCAGAGCCGTTACCACACTGAGGAAGTCTGTATAAATTACTGCTTTTTGTATTTGTAATTGTTTGATGTGTTTAGCTGCCACCAGTATCGCGTAAGCTTCCGCTGTGAAGATACTTGTGCGTGGATGTAGAGGGCCAGCATCCGAAAAGGATGGGCCGACAGCAGCGTAGGACACAGAGGAGTTAGTCTTGGAGGCATCTGTGAAGAACTCAGGACGTGTGTATTTGTGTTGAAGTTCCAGAAAGTGTGTTCGGATATGGGCAATAGGTGCATGTTTTGTAACCTCTAGGAAAGACACATCGCAGTCTATAGTCTGCCACTGCCACGGTGGCGGGATTCTACTGTATATAATAGTGAGAGACGCCTTACTTCCTGCAGCAGTCATGGTGAAGTGCACCACTACGAATTTGAGGCCATTCGCCACATGCTCATGTGTTCCCTTTCGTACTGCTCCCAATAGTAAATAGTCATGTATTGACACAATACGGACTGCCCAAGCATGTACATAGAATAAATTAACAGTCACGAATTAAAAGAACCCGCCACCAAAAAGATAAGTTCTTAGTCACCGAGAGCCACTGAAGGTGAACTAACACACTCATCAGCCGCCATTGCAACTTGCGAACATTGCGTTTTCTGTTCTCAACAAGCTTGGAAAACTATGCAAGCAGAATGAGCCGAATGCTCTCACGCCTGGGAAGTAAGTACACCAAGTGGCACTGAGACGGGTATGTTGGGTGCGCTGACCTCGTCATGTACAGCTTCCCGCTTTCATGTGGAAAGCATTACACTGGGCAAATCAGGTAGAGGCACAATGACCAGCCACGTGAGCACCACAATAACATAAGGAATGAAACCAGCGGTTTCTTTGCAATCCACTGTTTGGGATTGAGGCTGTCAACATTCATTTTACCTTTACATGATTGTATTTCGTGGCAGGACACAAGCTGGTCCACAAAATTACTGAGGTTGAGTATTAGTTGCACCTTCTTAGATGATACTGCACAAGGCTTAGCCGCCTGTGCCAGAGGCATAAGGGCAGGTGTCCTCTTTGTGACCGCCCTTGCAACATTTCGAGCATGTAGGTTCCCTTTGAATTAGGTGGCCTCGTCCTGGACCAACAATCGGCCGCTCTATGCCCCAACTTATTGCAAAGAAAACGCTAAATTTTTCCCTTTGCACTTTGTTTGTCTGGTACTCTTGATTGCGCTGCGGAATACCCCGGTTCCCTATCCTCTTTGCTTCTTCCAAGGTTGATCAGACTTTGTGCTTCGAGGTAATGGTCCACAGTCTCCGCAAACCTGTCCAGACCTCTGCCGTCTCTTTCTTTCAAGAACACTTCCAGCTTCTCGTAACATCGCCGAAGAAACTGTTCCGATATAATAACATTCTGCAGGTCCTCATAACTACACTCCATCTTCGCCATTTGCAGACAGTGGTCGAAGAACCGGGCGAGACGAGCAGTAGGCTGTCTCCCTCTTTCAGAGTTCTCCGCTCTACGATTCCAGAATTACACACAGTACCCTGCCTCAATGTATGGAAAACGCTATCGGAAGGTTTGCTTCAGCTTAGCTTAGTCAAATGCGTTGTCAGCCACCATTATCCACACTGTGCTCAAAGCCTCTCCCATTAAGCATAAACTGAGAAAGAGAGCCCGTTTATTACATGGCCATCCTTGATTGTTGGCCACTCTCTCGAATCGCTGGACAAACGCATCCAACTCATCCCTTGTCTCATCGAACGGCTTAATGAGCTGGTGTGGGCTTTGATAACCCTGCTCCGAACTATAACTAGAAACAGCGCAAGCTGATGGGTCACTAATATCCCTGGGAGCTAGCCTTGCCCGCTATTCATTTAACTTTATCTTATGCTCAAGCACTGTTTCTTCATCTTGTAGACGAGCTCTCGCAAGCTCCTCCATCTTTCTAGCGGCAGCGCGATCGGCTGTACGCTGTCCTCTTGCTTTCACCCGCTCCTCATCTACACAGGTCCTTAAGTTGGGGCCTCTTATGCCTAATTCTTTGCCAAACTCCAATACTTTCTCGAGGTCCATTCTCAGCCGACACACACTCATAAAGTTGATTGATTGATTTGTGGGGTTTAACGTCCCAAAATCACCATATGATTATGAGAGACGCCGTAGTGGAGGGCTCCGGAAATTTTGACCTCCTGGGGTTCTTTAACGTGCACCCAAATCTGAGTACACGGGCCTACAACATTTCTGCCTCCATCGGAAATGCAGCCGCCGCAGCCGGGAATCGAACCCGCGACCTGCGGGTCAGCAGCCGAGTACCTTAGCCACTAGACCACCGCGGCGGGGCACACACTCATAAAGTGATGCTCTATAAGGTCTTAAAGAGAGCAAGTCCTGTTGCGGACGCCAGTTTTTGTAAGGTGCTTTTGTGGCACACTCACAGGTGTGCTACGCGAGACATATGCAAATACACAAATTAACATTATAATTCTCGATACATCATGAACATGAAAGCTTCGTACAAACAGCAAATACAAATGACACGGTAAATGAAATAGACATCTAAATTCACAGAACACATTAAAACTTCTCAATTAAAAGTATAAGACAGTGCATACAGAACAATAGCTCACAGATTATCTCCCATCATCCTACGCAACGCAGTGATGTCCAATGTGCGTTGTTGGGTGGCTTTCGTGTGGTGGTTTGCAGCTCCCAATTAATGTCGCAATTAATGGCTGTGATGAACAGAGTTGATGATATCAACACTTGACCTCACACATAGTTGCAGGCTGCTTCGTCCATGCGTGCCTGTTAGCACCGGCCCAATCCTAACTTCAACGTGGCTCTCCTCCATCTGACACTCTTGGCCCTGCTGTCATCCACACTGGCTCAGGTCGCGCGGTTTCCTGGTTTTCACCATAATATCCCAGATGCACGTTGCCACAGTGCCTTTTGTTTGAATTCCAACTGTCTGGGAAGGGTCTCCCAAATTGCGTCTGGTGGAATGATTGCGCCTAGCTGCTGCTTTGCAGGCAAGCATCTTGTGTCTTTTAGGGAACCACTCCCATCACTACAAGGTCACATCAAAGAAATACTCCTGCAGCCATAGTACCCAGAGATATTGGGACCTTCTCATGTATACTAAACAAATGAAATATTCCTGTAATTTATTCAACAAAATTCCGATTCTGATATCAAGGTGATGAGCTGGGTCCATAAGCAACGAAAGCAAAGAGATTAACTGATTGATTGATTTGTGGGGTTTAACGTCCCAAAACCACCATATGATTATGAGAGACGCCGTAGTGGAGGGCTCCGGAAATTTCGACCACCTGGGGTTCTTTAACGTGCACCCAAATCTGAGCACACTGGCCTACAATATTTCCGCCTCCGTCGGAAATGCAGCCGCCGCAGCCGGGATTCGATCCCGCGACTTGCGGGTCAGCAGCCGAGTACCTTAGCCACTAGACCACCGCGACGGGGCCTAAAGCCAAGAGAGCATGGTGGATGGTAACAACTGAGAATGTGTGGCCCCACGAAAACGAGCGACATTTTGCAACGGCCCAGACACATCAAAGACATACACATTCTTTGTAATAGTTCCTGAATGCCACTGAGATGCACTGCCGATGCAGTGATCAATAAGCATACATGTACACCCATTGCAGAGAAGTCCCCCTTGATACTACTCAACAATAGGTGTCAATTTCAGGTGCCCTTCTTTTCTGCCAGCCCCTCCTCCATTTTCTACTTCTCCCCATCATCTGATTTACAGGGTTTAACCACAATGGCGTCAAGCTAAGCCTTGACCTGCGCAGACAGCTTTGCAATAATACAACACAAACATACAGAGCACAAACTTGGTGCTCTCTTTCACGCTGGTACATCGAGCAAAAACCATCATGAAGTGCCCCCAAGTTATGCTCTGCATGGCAGAGAAGGTTTAACCTGGTGAAAGCTACTTGCAGCTAATGTTTAACTGCTATGTTATCAAACATACGTGACATGTACAACCGACCACAAAACGTACACTGCAGTCAAATGTGAAGACTTCGATGAACGTACGCCCATCGAAACAATGATCATGCACAGTACAACAATAACACTGAGTAACAGCACCGAATGACCAAACAGACCCTAGGAATGCCAAAAACAAAGAGTGGTTGACACATGGAAATGCTTCATTTGGTATATGCAGCCCGAGCCCTGGCCAATGGTGCTGACGAAATGTATGTGTTTACATATTTGTTACAGAGTGATGGGTGCAAGTTTGTCCAATTAAGCTTGTCCCTCCCTCCTCTTTCTCATCGCAGGTCAGTAGCTTCATTATGTCTTTTTCACAAAATTTATTACAACAGCTATCTGAAACAGCAATTATTAACAAGGCCATCATACATATCACCTCGAATTGATCCCCGCAATAAAGTTGCAGTTCCATCATGTCACACCAAATGTTTTCATGACTCATTCATACCCAGAACTTGTGTCAGTTGGAATAATCTTCCCCATGATATCGCTTATATAATGGATAAAAATATGTTTCGTAAAATTATTAATCTTCTCTAAATGTTTGTGTATATATATATATATGTTTGTATATAGGTAGTACATATGTGTGTATATATAAGGTTATTATTGTTAGTATACGTTTTTCCTTATCAAATTATTGTCATTTATGCCTACTTTATTTCACTTACTTATCTGCTATGAGTTTTTTTCCTTGCAGTTTTACATTGCTTCCGTTATGTATATCTCCACTCCCCTCTGTAATGCCCTCGGGCCCTGAGGGTACAATAAATAAATAAATAAATAAATAAATAAGTAGAGCTGTAAATAACAAAAAATATGGTTCGTGTGGGTCAAATGTGTCGGTTATTTATCCCGAGTCAAAGTGCACCCCAGTATGATATTTGATGCTCGAGTGCATTCTAGAACGCACCTTGCCATTCAAATTTTGCATGCAGTCTGATTGGAATCAAATTAAACATGTGACAAGGTTCTGAAACTTCAAAATCTAGCTTGCCCACTACATGTGCAATAGCACATGAAGCAGTATCCCGACCACAGTGAAAAGTAAGAACGAATATACATGTTAACATGAAGGCATACTTTTGCACTGGGTGCTAAATTTTGTGATTAATAAGAAGTCCACAAGTTTCCCACAGTTTCAAGAAGCTAACTCTAGATATTCTAACCTCACAGTGAACAACCATCCGATGCTAGGTGAATTTTTTTTCAGTAAGAACTTGCAATAATGCCTGATAGCTGCATGGAGAAATGACTCATTATGGTGATTGAGTGACATCAATTGAGCACAAAAGCAAGCTGACGACATAGCCTGTCCACAAAACATATACTTAGAAAAGTGAAGCACCCATGTGAGAGCAGATAAACGTACTTCTCAACTAGATTGTTGATGGAAACAGATGCGTCCATTGCAGCTGAGGAAAACCGTGTCTCAGGATGACCGATCCGGACAAATTCGGCCTAAAAGAAACCGGGCAAGAAGTAAATTAGAATGTTAAAACTGTAACGAAACAACAACACAAGTACAGCACTAAAATTGCATTCTTTTGCTCTCAAGCAGTTTGTCAGCAAATGACAGCTTTTACGCAGTTTTTGTAATTGAGGTATGTAAGCCCTGACACACACCTTAACTAAGCCTTTCAAGAAATGTCGTGCAGAGATGTGACACTTGCTTATGTTATTACAAGGCTCCACATTTCCACAAGAGGAAAAATGTCAATATAAAGTGTATCAAAAAAGCACACGTGAAAAATTCAATTTGAGAAGCTATAATGATTGTTCACGGCTAGAAATACACTCCTTATTTTATTTTCCAGGGAACAATACTATTTTCTGATTTAATGAAACCTGTACAGTTTCGCTAAATAGGAAGTCGCCAAAAGAAAGACACTATATGTCAATGCAAGTGAGTCAATGATGGCATTAAAGTTAAAGTGTTTACATGAAGGTCAATATTTAAAGAAACATTATTCCAGATGATGGCTTTATTTCTAAAAACAAGCGGAAGGCATGCGAGGTGTGGGCATAAGGAGAGCAAACAGCTTTAACATGACCAATGCTTCGAGAGGTGTAATGACCTGGAATGATGGGAGAATGGTTGAATGAAAGGTAAACGAATTTATGACACCAAAATTAGGTGCCTTACGATTTTCTTGTGCACTTGGAGAACTTGTAGCCATGACTGTTCTTTTAGGTTAATTACACTAGTAACTTCTACATGAATACCTGTGCCTGGAAACGCGTAAAACTAAACTTGACTGGAACCTGACCTCTGACACTCACTTTATGCATTTACTCCTGCACAACTTTAGAAGTGAATAAAAGTACTAAAATACAAGTGATGACAAACCATGTCTGCTACACGGCAAAGAGCATCCGACAGGTCATCGAAAACTTGAACCATTTTGCGTTTCCGGTAGGGGTCGGTGGCCTCTTTGACATACTTCTCAGCATCGCTGACAGCCTGATCTTTCAAAAGGTAAAAACCCGATGGCTCTTGCAGCACCGAATGACCAAACAGACCCTAGGAATGCCAAAAACAAAGAGTGGTTGACACATGGAAATGCTTCATTCGGTACATGCATCCCGAGTCTTGGCCAATGGTGCTGACGAAATAAATGTGTTTACATCTTTGTTACAGAGTGATGGGTGCATTTCAATTCCTTTTTACACATGCCAATGCTGCTCTAGACTCACTTTTACCACTTGTAACTTTACCATTAACTGGCTTGTTTACGTTTCAGGCACAATCGGCAGTTTTATATGCCGTACTGAAACGTTTGTCAACGTTAGGCAACAGGCAATTTTGAAATATTTGTATGTTGTCCTTTTATTTCCTTTAGATCAAGCGTACGTGCTATTTTCATGGGGTAACAATAGAGCTACTATATACTTGTGCAGAGCACGCAATGCTGTTCCACTGAGCTGAGAGTGCGATTTGGAGGATAGCTCAGATGGTAGCATGCAGTTTGTGGCACACAGAAGAAGTAGACAAAATATTATTTCATTACGACGGTAAAACCAAAACGAAAAGCATTCGGTTTGTGGATGAACTTACACGTGAGTAGCCGCTCGAAGTGAGCGAACACTTCAGCAGAAACAGAGCAAAGAAAAGTCAATGAGTTAAAGAGGGGCGAAAAGCGTCGTTGTCAGTTCTTTTCTTATGTTCGGCTCTTGTTCATTGTTTTCACTTAAGTCACCCAACAACCATATAAATGTGTGCCTTCCAGCAATGCAAATATAAGGCCCGGCGTAACAGAAACAAGCAATCACTTCTCCAAGGTTCTTTCTTCAAGGACAACACGCAATACCGAGGCTGGCGAACTCACCGAACGTTCACCGAATCCGAATTGAAAGTTGGGTCTCCTTTTACCGATGCTATTGAAACGTGACGCCAGACGTGACCAGGTAGTCAAAGATCTCTTGATTCTCGACGAAAAACAAGCGCGAGCGAACACTGGTTTCACTGCGGGCAACAGTATGACTCCGCCCGACATTGTACGGCTAGCGGCAGCAAACTACAACTTTACATACGATAACACTAGGTCTCCATCGAGAGTTTTTCAACGCGGTTCATTCAAAACCTAGTTGGCTTTTTCTCAAACGCAAGGTTACGACAACATTGCAGGCAAAAGCATGAATTTACTGGGTGCCGCCATATTGTTTGTTAGTGTGGACAGATGACAAAAGGTCCCTCACTATGACCTGATGCAGGAAATATTTCAACCAATATTTTGCACGTCAGTGTAACCTTTCTAAAAAACTGAAGCTAGCTTTAAAAGTAATTGTGTTTATTTAGAGTTTTTAGCAAGAAATACAGCATGAGTTGTAATTTGTTATTCCTGCCATTGTGCCTGCATCTCAAGAAGGTTAACCTCCTTGCTGCATATTCTAGCCACTGTGCATACGTCTATGACGTTGGGGTTTTTAAAAATGGCGGCCCGCATCTTCGCATTGCTTCATAATCGCTGCTCGAGTGTTTTGCGAAGTGATGCCGTCTTTCATCGCGGCGCTCCATCATGGCACGCTTGGAGCAGTCGTGGCTTCAAGACATCGTGGGTGTCGCGCATGTTCATTCAGACCCAAGACACTCCCAACCCGAACTGCCTCAAGTTCTTGCCGAACGTGAAAGTTCTAGAGCAAGGCACCCGCGACTTTCCCAACATCGTGAGCGCTAAGGACTCCCCGCTGGCTCGTCACTTGCTTCGCGTGGAAGGCGTCAAAGCCGTGTTCCTGGGGCCGGACTTCATCACGGTGACGAAAGCGGACGACGAGACAGAGTGGAAGGTGATCAAGCCGCACGTCTTCGCGGCCATCATGGACTTCTTCGCCACGGGACTGCCCGTGCTGGACGACGGTAGTGCACCGACCCAGGTGTCCGTAGACACGCAGCCGAAAGAAGGCGATAGCGAGACGGTGCTGACGATTAAGGAGCTTATCGAGACGAGGATAAGGCCGACTGTGCAGGAGGACGGCGGCGACATCGTCTACATGGGCTTCGAGGACGGCGTCGTCAAGCTGAAGCTGCAAGGCTCATGCACGGGCTGCCCGAGTTCGTCCGTGACGCTGAAGGCGGGAATCCAGAATATGCTGCAGTTCTACGTTCCCGAGGTCAAGAGCGTCGAGCAAGTCGTGGACGAGGCGGAAAAAGTCTCGAACCAAGAATTTCACAAACTGGAAGACACGATACGGAGGAAGGGAGTGGATCCGTAGTGGCGTAATTAGTAAATTTGGCAATGGCGCACCAGTGTATTGGTGATGCGTCTGTGTGTTTTTTGTGACAAGTATAATGAGCTTTGCTTTGTGGAGGACTGTTTGTTGGGTATAAAGTTAGGGCAGTCTCTTGCGTAGTTTGGCATCATTTTGTTCTCTATCGCCATAACTTGTGTGCCACACAAGTGCTCGCGTTTATAACATGTGGGCATGAAGTTTACTTGTGCTATTGGATGTGTGCAGATGTGGCGCTGATAACTTCTGCCGATGTGTTTATTAATCTTGTAAAAAGAAAGTACGGAAGACGGACATGTAAAGCAAACTGGGCTGTTGCCGTTTGGCCAGCATGCTGCTAATTTCTGCAAATAATTCTTTCTACCAGTTGCCCCTCACTGGTCCTCATAAGTGACATGACCTATTGACAGGAAAACCAAAAATCAGTGCACAGTGCTGTGGGGGCTAATTATATGTTACGTGCAACTCACTGGTCTTGCCGGACCACTAATATCGAACCAGCACCTGCGAAATCGTATTCGCTGTTCTCAAATGTGCAGGTAGTGCCACTGCTTCCAGCAACCATAACACTGTTAGTAATGATGCTTCAAAAGAGTGAAAGGGCTAAAAAAACAGGCCAGAGCTTTGTTTTTTGGACCCTCCATATCTGCGTCGGCTGACTACTAATGCCAGAGTAACACTTTCTTCTTGATTCTATTCACTGGGTTTGCGAGCACCCTTCAGCTCTGAATACATATGGCTGCTGCACACAGGTTGAGAAAGTAATATTGGCTAACAATACTAGTCAGCAAAATAGGCTTGTGGATAGCTTTAACTGTGGTAAAGGTAACTACATTTCTGCTAACCACAGTTACACTAAAGATAGGTACACGGCAGGTGTAACCCCTGTGAATCTTCTAATAGTCGCTATGGCAAACCAAGCTAGGGCAGCAGAGTTTTCCTTGCAAACAGACGTTGGTAAAATAGTCATCAAGCTGCATGCGCACCAGCCGTGAAGCAATGCAACTCATACCTCTGCGTTGTTCAAGGAATTTCGGGGAGCGTGACTACAGTTGGCAAACAATAGTTGAGTGAAACGCATGGAAAACAAGCATCGCTGAGGAACAGCCAACAAAAAGTATTATTCTGTTCTCAGTGGATATAGCTCAGTTACTACACATTTTTTAGATTGTGTACAGCCACCTGATAAAGCCACAAACATTGAATTTGTAATTGTAGGTGAAGCAATGCAGGTTCTCTTTCTGAATGCATTGTTTTGAAAGTGTGAAACTGCATCTCATACCATGAAACTCCGAGGGTGTGCCCAGCCTTATTGCAAATCACTTGATCAGCATGTGACTTATTGGCTTGCTTAAACGAAAACCCGTTTAGCAGCGGTAAACATTGTTTGGGTTAACTGCGATCAATCCCGCCTGTGGGACAGGGGTATTAAATATTTATTTTTTATTTACAATTACTGTACAAGCGTCACAAGGAGCATCGAGTAAGGGGAGCTCCACGAAAGAAAACAAAAGAAACCAATATGTGAGTGCCAAAAAAATCTACTATAATAATATGCTGGCAAGGCAGTGCAACTACTACTGCAATTAAATGGCAATAAAATACTAAGAATACTTCAAAAAAAGAAAAGAAGATAGGACTTATGATAGCAAGAAAACGCAGTTTGTTGGTTGCATAAAAAAAAATTGGTGATTCTCAAAAAATTGGTGGATTCCTCATACGGTGAGAATTCACTAAATGCAAAGCATGAATGAGGGAAGGTTGATACGTCACTTCAAACTCAGCACAATGTTACGACGCGTATGTAAATTATGCCGTACATGGCTTCCATGTCATGAGTATCATGTTTGGACATGTCATTTACCTTCTTCGTCTATTCACCTCACGTGGTACCAAATTTGGTATATATGTGGAGTCGGCCAAACGGCCACAAGTGCGCTATGAGCGTAGCATGTAGTCATGTTTTACATGACTTTTATGTCATGTTTATCATGTTTAGACATGTCATTTGTCATCATCATTCATTGATATCACATAACACCAAATTTGATATATGTGAAGCTACCAAATGACCGCGAGCTCACTATGAGCATAGAATGTAGTCATGTGTTACATGTCACATTATCATGATTATCATGTTAGGGCACGTCATTTGCCTTTGTCGTCCATTCTTGTCACGCAATACCAAATTTGACATATGTCGAGCTAGCAAAACGGCCGCGAACACGCTATGAGTGTGGCATGTAGTCATGTTGTTACGTCATGCCCATCTCATGATTATCATGTTTGCACCAGTCATTTACCTTCGTCATCAATTCACGTCACGTGATACCAAACTTGGTATATGTGAAGCTAGCAAAATGACCATGTGCGCACTATTAGCCTACCATATAGTCACGTTGTTACATGATACGCATACCATGATTATCATGTTTGGTCATGTCATATACTTTTGTCATCCATTCACGTTCCGTAATACCGAATTTGGTATATGTGGAGCTACCGAAACGACTGCGAGCGCACCATGAGCATGGCGTGTAGTCATGACTTACACGACATGCATGTCATGATTTCCACATTAGGGTCTGTCACTTATGTTTGCCATGCAGTCATGTCATACCACATCAGTTTTTCAATAGGTCATGTGAAGGAAGCCACCGCAAGAGCAGCAAGACCATGAAATGTAAATCATGACATTCATACCATACATGTCATGATTTTCATGTTATGACTAGCCACTTATGCTCGTCATACAGCCATGTTATGCGATACCAAATTTGGCTTCGATACCATTATCGAAACGGCCAAGAAAGCTAAAATGTCCTAGGCGGCTAGATAGATAGATAGATACGCTGAAAGTACTGAAGTTCGCTGAGAAATGCTTCACATTTCTAACAATAATAATAACTGCACATAGCTAGGCCATACATACAAACAACAAAGCATGAACTACAGGAGTTTGTTTGTGAATCAGTGTTAAAATTAGGAGAAGTCTAACAGAGATACTGAGTTGCATTCAGTTAAAAAAAAATTTGTGGTAGCATACATCAATTGACAAATGAAACCAAGGTTTCGATGAATGCTCGTCTGGTCGGGAAGAATTGTAGATTAAAGAAAACAAAGACGCCGACCACAAGAATAAAAATTTAACGCACGTTTCGACACCCGGAAGCCTTGTTCCCAATGAAAGCGAAAGGTGGAAGCTAAGCGTTTTTTATTTTTATACAATTGACACGTTCCTAACATGAGGTAAAAACACTTCACATTACATGTTGTGACGGGATCTATAACTTGACAAATGTGAATATTTCTTACGATGAGAACTGTAGGACTAGGAGTTTCCTTAATTTATCTTTATTTGTTTGCATAACGGTGTTATTAGGAAGCTTATTCTATAACCAAATAGCTCATGGCACAGCCGGGGAGATAAGTGCATCAGTGTTGCCATATGTGTGATTATAACTTGAGTGCTCGTGGAGACATCGTGATGTGCAGGACGTGAGCACCAGTGGAAAGTATGATGGGTCATTTGATAAACATATCTATGAAATAAGAACAAGAGTCCTATGTCATGTCAACTATGTACAGTTTCTACAAAGTTCAAAGTTGACATTGTAGGGAAACAGAGGTGGGGGGCGACAGACCCCTTAAAGTTTTTGCCGGCCGCCCAAGAGCAAACATAGTCAAAACACATCGTGTGAGTTCCGTGCCTATATTTCCCCCTTGCCCTAAGGAACTCCCATGTCCTAGATGCTACGCTTCGGAAAATGAACATGCTGGTGCCACCTCTGCACACTGGTGGGGTGAGCAGGTGGTATACAAAACAATTTGTTCACGTTCAGAGTAAAGGAAGGCCTTTAAACAGCATCGCAAGTTATGCTTTAATGTGAAAATAACCAACATGTCTGAGTTCACTTGACTACAAAAGAATTTTTTTTTTTTGAAGTTCATGATTTTTTCGTACTGGCACCTAAAAGCTCCATTGATTAAAAAATTTTTTACAAGATTTTTTTAATTCTGAGGAATGAAGGTTTTCATAAAACCAGATGACTTAGTTTTCAGGTCATGAGAAATATAAATTAACGTAACAGCTATTGAAAGCATTACACTTCTTGCGAAGCCACATGACTTCACTGATAGGTTCTCCTAAATATAACTTAAAGTGAGCAGCTACTGAAAAGATTAAGACTACTTCTAAAGCCACACAAATATTTTCTCAGCACAGAGAGCAGAGCAATCAAATTCATGCAACCGAGAGAGCTGAAATGATTAAACAGACAATTAGGCCAGAGAGGCATAGAGAATGTTACTGTGTTTGTAGTATGCAAATTTTGACGCAAGTTAAATCTCGCTGAAGTGGACAAAAAGTCGCAAGTTTCATTGGTGGGATCTTAAGCTGCAACCTTTGAATTACGTGTCCAATTCCCTGCCGAGTAAGCTACAATGGAAGGTGTTTCTTTGTCCACTTCTTTGGGGATTTCTATGCACGCTATTCCTGGGAGTGCTCTCCAATGCTCCACATTGTGCAGGCGGTGAGTGAACAGTAAAGCTTGCATTCATATTCGTACCACAAAAAGGAATAAGATGCAGACTCGGAGAGAACACACAAACGGGACGGGCACAACTAGCGTCCGTCCTGCTTGTGTCACCATCTGTGTCAAACCAACTAGCCCACATCACCGCTTTGAGCAATAAAGTAGCTATATGGATAGCCAGAGGAATTCCATAATACCCAATGTTTGATTGATAATAACATTAACAAGAAATTCTTGGGTCGCCAAAGAATTCACATATGGCTATAGCAGACGTCCTATTGTTGTAGCCCTCTGAAGGCTGCCCAAAGAAAAGAGTATCAAGAAAATTCAGAGTAATCCGTAATAAAATTTAAACGTTTTTTTTTTCCTATGACTGCGTGCGGAAATAACAGCAGGCAAGTAAAAATGATCAATGTTTTCAGGCTCTTAACAGCACCGGACCAGTATAAATCATTATGAAGTGGTCGTATATGGCATGGAACTTTTGTATTAGCCACTTCCAGTTGGTGAGTAGAACACCGTGTATTATTCTAAACAAAAAGCGCAGTGACAGACTTCTTTTTTGAACACGATCTCTCTCCTACCGATCAGCAGAGAGGGAGTTTACGTGTCTTTGTAAGTGAATAAACTTTTATTGGGTCCAGCAAAAAGGCGATGAAACGTGCACCTGGCTATTCCTACTACTGAATCGGCAGGCTGAGCCTGCTGGCGTGATTACGGGCCTGCTGGGCGGCCAGGATTTGGTCTTCATGGGCGGGACTTTGTAAAAGCGTGTTACACTCTACCGTGGTGAACCA